CTGTACGGCATGTTGGTGAGGTGGGCGGTGCTGTCTGTGACGGACAGGTCGCACTCTCTCAGGTAGAGCTCCAGTCTCCGCTTCTCCATCAGCCTCCGGGCCACCTCAAGGATCTGAGAGGAGAGGTCGTCACGGCAACCCTGCTGACCCTGAGCCTGACTCGGAGCCTGACCTTGACCCTGAGCATCGCGGGGTCGTGACGCAAACCGCCCAAAGACCTCCGCAACCCCCGACGGCTTGGGCTTCCTGCTGTTGAAGCCGTAGAGGTCGTTCACGGTTAACTTTGCCCCCTTCGGCCCCGCCCCCAGGCCGGGGGTCATCGCAGTACCCGCACGACCCGCAAACATCTCACACTGTGACCCTCCTGAAGACCACCGTCCAGCCGAGTGTCCACTCTCCACTCTGGGTAATCCCCCTTCACTCGCCTCACCCTCCTCTGCCCTCTGGGTCTGGATTTGACTGACAGGTCATGATTACCCCATCATCATCATCATCATCATCATCACCGCCCCCCAGTAGATTAGAGTGTGACTGTATAATAATCTGGCAGGTTTCCAGCACAGTGAGATTACTGAGATTACAGATACTGACACTGAATCAGCCAGTGGAGCTGATTTATTTACCCATTCATAAAAAATATGGAACAAAATTTTTCATAACTGCTTTATTTTATCCTTCGATCTGTTAGACTCAGGGAATAAACAGTGTGTGTGTATTAAAATGTGCAGTAGTGAGTCTCTGGAGGACGTGACTGATTTACACTCAGAGAACCAACAACAACATGGAGGTCGACTGGGGTGCTGAAACTTTTGCACACACCTGCATACGCTATATTTTAATTAATTAATTTAATCTATATTGTATTGAATTCGTTCATCCACTTAAACATTTAAACTATTAATTCATTAATTTATTTAAACAGACTCAGTTGCCTGATAGAATTAATTAGTTAATTAACCAATTAATCAATTAATTATGCTACAGTTCATTCATCCATTCATTTTTCCTTCATCCATTAATGTGTTCATTAATCCAGTAATGTAAACTGTCACTCATCAATTCAAACAGAATTTCATAATCATTTTTGTTTAAACTGTATTCTGTATTCATTTATTTAACCCATATTCATTCATTTCATTCATCCTTTTACTCTGTTTATTCAAGACTACATTCAATTCATCCATTCATATTAACTACAATCTAATTCGTCCTTTTATTTGAACTATCCTTAAATCATTCCTTCATTTTTACTATACTCTAATTCACGTGTGTCAGACTCCCGTCCTCCTGGGTCAAAGCTCTGCAGACTTCAGTTCACCGCCTCATTAAACACACCTGATTCAGCTCGTCAGCTAATTAAGGCCTTAATGAACTGAATTCAGAGCATTAGATGAGGGTAAACGCTGATCTCCACAGAGCTTTGGCCCTGAAGGTCTCGCTGGCTCTAATTCATGCATTCATTTAAACAATACTCTAATTCATCCGTTCATTTAAACAATACTCTAATTCATCCATTAATTTAAACAATACTCTAATTCATCCATTCATTTAAACAATACTCTAATTCATCCATCCATTCATTTAAACAAAACTCTAATTCATCCATCCATTCATTTAAACAAAACTCTAATTCATCCATTCATTTAAACAATACTCATTCATCCGTTCATTTAAACAATACTCTAATTCATCCGTTCATTTAAACAATACTCTAATTCATTCATCCATTCATTTAAACTATACTCCAATTCATCCATTCATTTAAACAATAATCTAATTCATCCATTCATTTAAACAATACTCTAATTCATCCATCCATTCATTTAAACAAAACTCTAATTCATCCATCCATTCATTTAAACAAAACTCTAATTCATCCATTCATTTAAACAATACTCTAATTCATCCATCCATTCATTTAAACAATACTCTAATTCATTCATCCATTCATTTAAACTATACTCCAATTCATCCATTCATTTAAACAATACTCTAATTCATCCGTTCATTTAAACAATACTCTAATTCATTCATCCATTCATTTAAACTATACTCCAATTCATCCATTCATTTAAACAATACTCTAATTCATTCATCCATTCATTTAAACTATACTCCAATTCATCCATTCATTTAAACAATACTCTAATTCATTCATCCATTCATTTAAACAATACTCTAATTCATCCGTTCATTTAAACAATACTCTAATTCATCTGTTCATTTAAACAACACTCTAATTCATCCGTTCATTTAAACAATACTCTAATTCACCCGTTCATTTAAACAATACTCTAATTCATCCATTCATTTAAACAATACTCTAATTCATCCATCCATTCATTTAAACAATACTCTAATTCATCCGTTCATTTAAACAATACTCTAATTCATCCGTTCATTTAAACAATACTCTAATTCATCTATCCATTCATTTAAACAATTCTCTAATTCATCCGTTCATTTAAACAATACTCTAATTCATCCGTTCATTTAAACA